ACATGTCGTAGGTTTGAAGTCGCCATGGTAGTTCATTTGGCGGCGGCAGCGATAACGACTGGCGACAACGACGCTGAGCGTTTTTGAGGATGATGTACTCCGTAGTGCCGGGCGGTAAAAAGGAGGCACAAGGTCACATGTGTAACGGTGGCACAAGGCCAAGGGCGCAATTAGAACTGAATGACAACTGCAAATAGAAACGAATGAAGCGAAAAAAGATATTCTATTTCGGCCGGAAAGCTCTGTATTCCAGGTCGGGCTGCATGAGGGAAACTTGACTTGGAGAATGCAAAAGGGTCCGATCCAAATGGAGATGGAGATTGAACTCCAACGTCGGGCGCCATGGGCACATGCAGTTGTTCTATTTTTCCGACGGCCAAGTCAAGTCAAGTCAAGTCTGGTGCCGTTATTGGATTTGAGAGCACTGTCATTCGCTGAGGGTGCCTGGGACCCTGGACGTTCGGGGGTTAAGCGGCGGGCCAAGGCACCAGCAACTCCCCGCGGCAGCCGGGTTAGCCATCGTTGGGCCAATGACGGGCGCTCAGGTGTGTCCATGTCTGGACAAGATCCGAATCTGCCCAGCTGCTTCGCGCAGAGCCCAAGACAGAGTCCAAGACACTAGGTCCACCGAGGCTGCGGTCAAGCTGGGCGTGCTTTCTCTGAGCAGTGCCATGGTGTGATTCTTTTGAGATATACCCACAGGACATGATGGTTCACGTATTCATAATAACCTAATCACGGCACAAGTAGGTTAGTACCATCAATGCCAAGGCGTTCGGAGCAACTGCAGACTGAGACTATATTTAACAATAGGGCCAAACCTGATCATTAGACACTAGGTGCAATACGCCTTGCCAAGTTCATGATATACAAAGTGCAGCCCTGGACTTTACTCAGGTTTCTGCACACCTAGGCGTGCTTTAAATGTATGCAAACTTAACTTGTCCCATAGGTTCAGTCACTAGAAACATAACGCATGTGCGCTGAGACAGAGACGATTACATGACTTTCACTTGGCGATGCACACCTTTTACTATTGTATGTGTTAACTGACAAGCATCACACCTTGACAACCATGGCATCAACATCCAAGCCCTTGCCTTCCACCAAGACACCAGCCTTTCTAAGCACACTCACACAATTTCGCACAACGTCATTCTTCACGCCCTCCGTGTGAGCCGGGAACTTGACCGTCTTTAGCCACTCCCTTGCATCCGGCTCCGTGTACCCCAGCTCCGTAGAAATATACTCGACTGCCTCGTCTTGATGCTCGTTAAAGTGCTTGATGCCCCGGTCAAGCTTCTCAAACAGTGTCTTCACACGCGCATCCCCGCTCTTGGTCAACTTGGTAGACGCAACAATCTTCCAGCTGCTCCATGGAGTGTAGATTTCACCAACGCGCCGAATCTCACCCGCGTCGTAGTACTTCTTGGACGTAAAATGCTCCCACATGAAAAAGTCGGCCTCGCCAGAGTTGACTGCGTTGCGGAGGTTCTCGAAATTATGCAGGACAACCGTGTCGGAAAAGTGAGTCTTGTCGGCAAGCCAGCCTTGCTGGTCGGCGAGGACAAAGCCCATCACGTAGGACCCAGAGCCAATGCGGGACACGCCGATTTTGCCGCCCTTCAGAGACGCCACAGATGTGATTTCCGGGCGTTGAGCCCCCGTCGAGATGGCCCAGCCTGCAAGTAGATGAGTTTAGCTGCGTGTTGGCGGCGTTGGCCCATGTACAGGAGGGTCAATCCTTCTTGAGGCATCACATACAAAGCGGAGTGTCGACATATGTGCCAACAAGGCGATATCCTCCGTCGCCTTCAATGCCTTCTTTGCCGAGTCCCGCAATCCATCCCTCTGTCAGGCCGATGCCGATGTCAATCTCGCCTGCACGGATGGCGGTGATCATGTGTCCAGTGCCGGAGGGGAAGGGTATCAGCGTGGCATGGAGACCGTAGTGTTTCTGAGCAAAGTGGATGGGCGTTGAAAAGTGCTCCGGCACATAGCCGATTCGCAGACCTTCTGACGACATTTTGACGTCTGGGTTGGGAATACCTGATTGAGTCGGTGATGTGAGAGATTATTCCTGATGGTGGGGAGAGGGGGGTCGGGGGAGTGCGGCAAATGCAACAGTACTAGTCGTGAAGACTGGAGATTCAATGCTCCATTTTCAGTTGGCACAGAATTTGCGAACAGACACGAGCAGACCCAAGGTACCGTTATTCAAACGATTCCGGCATAGGGTTATTATATGTAGTTAATCTCATCATGAATATGCGTCAATATAGGGTACTCGAGTGTATTTCCACGTGTGTGGTTCAGCCCAACGTCAAGCAAGTCACCACCAATCAAGAGATGCCGGTTTGCCTGCTGCCAAGTATACGCTAACGTGCTATCGTATAGTACAGTCTGGCTCGCGATAGCAAAGTACTTTGGCCCATGAAATAGTTTTCGTCTCGGTGTCACCCCCACCACAAGTTAAATCCGAGACGTAATCCGCAACACTCTCGTGCCAAGGGGCAATAACTCCGTTCGTAATCCACGTAATCAATCAATCGGGTTCAGTGTTGGGAATACGATGAACGGATGGAATGCTAGGGCTGAAGGTGGCGTAGCGCCACCGCAGACGTGATGAGTGTATGGCTCTCATCCCTCATGGCTCTTTCCCGTGGTAGAAATTAATCTTCAGCTGAACAGCTCAACAGCTCAACTCAAAACCTTAAATTTGGCATCAAGCATCTCGCGCTTCTGGGAGAGCATCTTGAACCTTGAGCCGCTTCCATGTCTCGATTGCATTACTTTGAAATCCAGCAAAACACTTGCACACGCTTTGCGAACCCCCTCATCCCTAAATTTTCAGCAAAAGCCGCACCCAGAAAGACGCACCATGTCCGAGGTCGAGCTTGAATCAGAAATGGAGTGGGAAGAGGACGCTCCGTTCCTCACCCATGATGAACGGGAGCAAGCAGATGCTGGCATTGAACCAGAAACAACGCCCACTCATGAACAACCCGATGAGCCGTTACCAACGAGACCTCTTATCAGGGCTGCGCCATGGCAAGCCAAGACGCCCGGAACCATTGTGTTTCTTGCCGCTGTCATGAAGTTTTGCATCACATCCAGTGGCATGCTGCTTCTTATCCCCGTATATCGACTGATTGAAGATGCGCTGTGTCATGTACATTATGAGGACGACTCATATGATATTATTGACGAGATGAAATGCAAAGTAGACGACGTGCAGTCCCGGCTGGCGTCTCTGATCGGGTGGTGCGGCTTGTTTAATTCCGTCATGAGTGCGTCTAGACGCTCGTACCATACACACTACAAATGCAGAACGCTGACGCTGTTTAGCATTGCTGGTCACTTTCCCTTACGGCATGTTGGCTGACCGTATTGGCCGCAAGCCCACGGCTGTCCTTGCTTATGTTGGTCTTGCCATTTCATTCAGTTTCACGCCGCTCATGTTTGGCGTATTCCAAGACACCCTCCGTCGAAATCCGTATATTATCATGACGGGTTCGCTCTGGACGTTGCTAGGCGGCGGTGTACCGGTCTTGCTCAATACCTTGTACGCTGTTGCTGCCGATGTCAGCACCGAGCAACAAAAGTACGTGTATTCACGGGCGACACGCATGGCTCACCCTTCCCGTTCCGTCGCGACAACAAACACTGACAATCCAGGACAGGGCGGCTAGCTTCTTATATCTCACCTTTGGGGCTACTCTTGGCGGCCTCATCGGCCCTCTACTTGCTGGTGTTTTAATGACCAACTTCGGGCCGTGGGTGCCAGTCTACGTTGCCTTGACTGTCACGCCATTTATGCTTTGCATCTTCTTTTTCATCCCAGAGACCTTGAATGTGGAGACGAGAGCAAAGAGGAACAAGGACCAAACATTCGCCCAAGCCTTCAAAGAGCATGTCGGCAAGGGTCTGGATGATCTGATGCACTCTGTGGACATGATTAAGAATATCAACATACCCCTTTTACTGCTCACCTTCTTCTTTCAGTCGGCTAGATTCGCAGCATATACTTCGGTATTGGCGCAGTATATTAGCAAACACTTTGGATGGAAGCTTGCAGAGACAAGTTTGCTCTTGTCACCGTTGGGCGTCCTCAACCTCATTATTCTGGTCGCATTACCCAAGGTCTCGGAGATTCTGGTGTCACGTCGATTCAAGTTCACAGTATTCGGGAAAGACTTGTTCCTCACCCAAGTATCGACGTTTCTCATTATTCTTGGCGCCCTCATCGAAGCCTTTAGCCACAATGTAATCCTCTTTCTTTTCGGATTGTTCATTGGGACATTTGGTGCTGCCGATAGCCCACTCGCTCGAGCCACGGTATCGCACTATGTTGATGCCAAGTCTATCTCGAAACTGTACGCCCTCATTGGAATGATGGAAGTATCGGGTTCATTCATTGCCGGCCCGGTGCTGGCGAAGCTGTTTAATATCGGGCTAGAACGCAGGGGTATTTTTATCGGCCTGCCTTGGTTCTATATGGCGTTCTTGTGCGGTATTGCATTCGTGGCGCTGCTCTTTGTTCGACCGCCTCCCGGTAACAAGAGTGCAGGTGATGAAATATTTTGTCGCGAACCTGGAGTTGTGAATGAATCGGCAGCGGAAGACCTGTTGTGTCCGGAGTGACGGATGAAAATAAACGAATTCACAAGATTTATGCATAAAGATATAGAAAGGGTGGTTCTTGTTTATTTGTCTAATTTAGATTAGCAGTAGATAAGGTACGGTTCACAATATACCAATATAGAGGGCATTCGATGCCAAGACTCATACTCATACGCGTATAGTCAACTTGAAAGGTGATTTGGGTTAAACCAGTGCGCACCGAACATGTGTAGTTTCACCTGCGACATGCACAGAGCCCATGGGGAGCGAAGAGTCAAGGTTGGCTAGGTTTGCAAAGTATCCTTTGCCGATTGCATATACAATACAAGTCTCAGTGACTATACATATACATCATACGTGTACCCCCGTCTTGCCGATCAGATAGTAAAGGCAGAATAGCCCTGCAGAGCACCAATGGCCCCAACAGCTACAGCATTGCTCGTCACCCCATTCTTGGCGTACCACCAGCCGCTCGCCCACATGATGGCAATCATGGCCCCGGCAACGGCCTTTTGGACGGGATCCCGCAGGAGCGCCGGGTTCTTGGACCAGGCATAGTTGATGAGGGCTGGGAAGGGAGGGGGGGGCAAGATGTCAGCAAAGGAGCTCAGTGCATGGGGGAGCGAGTCGTGGACGTGCCGTTCATGATGAAGAAGCCGCTTCCCTGGTACCAGCCTGCTTTTGCGCAGGCATAGGCGAGGCGCGGGAGGGTTTGGAACTTTGCATTTTCCTGCCAGTCCTTGGCGGACGTCTGTCACGGGTGAGTATGTACTTGTGGATGTGCGGCTGGCGTTGGCTGAGGACGTACGGTGTGGCCCAGCGAGATGAGCAGCCATCCCACCGAGGTGACTTGGAGCGCTTTGGACATGTTGGCCGTATTTTGAAGGCAAGTGGATGAGGTGAGCGGGATGAGATTTTTGCAGAGGTTGACGGATGATGCTTGTGTACAATGGAGATGGGGGATGGTGTTTATGAGTGGGCGCGCGACCTCGGCTTGGATGGGGTCGAGTTGCTCCGTGTTCTCCGCTACTGCATCGCCGAGGCTCAAATGGGCCGGGATGGACGGCGCGGCGGAGATTTAGCTTTCCAGATGTCTGGTCCGGGGGTGAATGTTGTATATGCAGGTGGGAGGCGGGACGTGGTTAACCGGATCAGGTAACTGGCTACGGTGCCGGGCTATATTACCCCGTTGGCAACTAGGTGGGCTAACTTGGTCGTTGACGGGTATAAATTATGATGGGATACTAGTGTATTTGACTTCTATGAGATTAATAGATCCTGCCACCGATGGAATCTATAAGTGCATGTGGTGACTAACCCATAGGCGTGTGAATTGATGTTATTGGTTGATTGAGACGCAGAGTTGGGCATTGCCACCTGCATAAATGGCATTGTTGAACAGTTACCACATCAGGTGAATCCGTTTATAAAAAACAAGAAAAAAGAGACATGCTACTCCTGCAACAATGCCCTTTTAGAAATTCGTCCATGACCAGAGCTGTTTGCAGGGATCCTTGCTAGCCTGCGTCTTTGCTTCATTGAAATGCCCATGCTTGCCATTCATTCATTCACTGTCTTTGGAAGTAAAGAGCGGGTGCTGTTCATAGTAGGCGGACAGTACCAAGTACGAAAGAGACACGCAACATGTAAATATTATTTGAGGATTGACTTACAAGTTCAAATGAATTGGCCTCTTTCGTATCGACCATCTGTCAGTATTCATAGTGGTTCTTGCTAGCCTAGGGTTTTTGGCTCACTGAAACGCCTCATGCTGGAGTGTTGGGAAGCAAGGAGTGGGCGCGCTTTCCACTCTGGACCTACAAAGAGAAAACACGAAGCAAGAGAGACACTGGTGCATAGCAAATCCCTGCCTTTGCAGGTTTTTTTTGTTTACCTTGTTGGCAAGTGTGTTTGAACTTTAAACACCCTCAAGACACAAGAGAGACTCGGGGGCAATGGAAGAAGAGCGCCCACCTCGACAATCAAAGCTACTCTCCTCCCTGGCCGTGATTCATCTCACCATTGTTCTCTCGACTATCGAGCCAAACAGCGTCAGACCAAACCTTCAACAGTCTTTTCAAAATGTGCAAACTCAGGCGTCGAAAGTTCGCATGCATCAATTGCAAAAGACAATGGATTCAATACAAACTTCTCGGCGGAACCAGACGGTGTTCTCTTAACCCTCCACTCGTTGATGAACCTTGTCCGGCAGACGACACGGAGATTAAACAGTGTCTCCCGGTTAAGGGGAGTTGCGGGTGCATCGCACCACATTGCCAAGTGTTTTTAAACCAGGATAACGTGAGAAGAATAGTGCCCCTTTATATGCCTATGATTCCGACCGCTGACTTTTTCGATGTAGTATCTTGACAGTTGGGTCCCGGTCCGGGTAGGTCTAGGGGCGACGGTGGTTGAGGATGCAAACAATGCTGACGTATTTTTAGAGTAGAGCAGAACTCGACGTGAGAGACGCAGTGACTGGCTCTTTTCTTTTATTCTGCTGATATAATTGATAGCATCTCTACAGATGGCCTTCTCACATATGGCCCGCGGCAAGTAAACCGGCTGTGCCATCCACGCATAAAAACTGGACTAACATACCTTGTAGAACGCTTGGAATAACTTTAGCAAAGACGAAACAACGGAAAAGGGTGCAACGGAAAAGGTTAAAACGGAAAAGGATGCATCGGAAAACGAAACAACGGAAAAGGATACAACGGAGAACGAAACAATAGAAAAGGTTAAAACGGAAAATGATACAACGGAAAATCTGCGATAGGGTTTTTGATACTGCAAGGTTGGATACACAACGAGCTTGCGTTGTCAGTCTTTGTATTCGTGGCAGTTTGAGGTGTAGCCGACATGCGTCAGGTTTTTATTCCCAGAGAGGGATTTTCTGAGGAAAGCGGCTTGGAAATAAGTTGACAAGTTATAACGACAGCGTTATTGAATATTGACAATATTGCGCTTCACGGTTGAGAACGTGGCCTTCGCGTTGACAGGTTGATTTTCGGTTCTGGATCGTATGGCTACCTTGCTCTCTCGATTGGCGATTGTGTTTGATGGCGTACAAATTCTGGAAGGTGTATTATGCTAGTATACGATGAGCCAGACGGATCCGACGTCCCAGTCTACTTGAGAACACTGGAGAAATGGTGGCAAATGTAGCTCTGTTATGAGAATGCCACTGGCTAGCATCTTGTTCTCTGGATGCAAGTGTTCATCCTTTGGAATTACTGCGAGAAGTGGCCTCAGCATGGCCATTGGACGAGCCAACACACCCCTTTGACCATGGCGGCAGCAGCAGAAACAATGAATGATGGCGTATAACGCAACAAAGACTATCCTTGACTGGATCTCGTCACATGTCCCTGCACAAACAAATCAGTTGTATTGCGTGACAGGCCGCCGGGAGGCAACAACCCACAGAAGAGCCAGCGTCACGTCGCCGTGGATTTTGGCGCGCAACTGAATGTCAACGTCTAGATTCAGGTCGAGCCTGAGTTTCAGAGGATTCGACTTTTCGGACGTCTGGGCCACGGCCCGAATCTGCGGCTGCTGAGACTGTAGTTGTGGCTGTTGTTGTAGTGCAATTTGTCTTGGAACTTCCTCCTCGAATTCTGGGACTAGTTGGTATCGTAGTGAAGAGAAAAAAACGCTTTCGACTGACCGCTGGTATAGTCTTGCACCATTTGATGCTTCCTCTGCACGGTTTGACCCTGCGACAAGTTAGCCTTGCTGATGTGTTGCAGTCACATGGGGATGTGGGATATGCCTTTGCAGCCATGGTGATGAGATTGTTTGGACCCAACTGTGTACGAGTTCAAGACGTGAAAAAAAAAGAAGGATCTGGATCGGAGGCGCTACAGGCGTTAGGTGACGTTTAAAATCTAGAGCTGCGTCGTCTTCTGAGTTCGTTTCATCCAAAGGTCAAACGGGGGAAATGAAACATGATGTCACACGGTGTCATGCTGTCGCCTTGGGGCAATCTGTAGCCCTGTTTGACCTATGCACGAAACTTGGCAGAGGGACGGGTGGCTGCGCGGATGATGGCATGATGGCAGATCTCGATGCTCCAGTGTGGCGCCTGGGCTTCTGTCAAGAGTCAAGACAAGTTGACACTTGGATAAATGTGGGAAACGGGAAGTCATGTGCTTTGATTCGACATTCGCATGAGACGAAAAAGCCGCCCCTGATGCACCCTTGCAGCAGTCCAGGGGACGGCGGGCGAAACGGACTTGACTGCACCGGCGCGACTTGCCGACATGCATGATGCCTCCATTATCCGTGACATTTACAAAGGAACATTGAAGCTACTCGAATAAATACTCTCAAGTAGACGAATCGTGTCATGGACGCCGTGGTACCCTTTGCTGAACTGACGATGCGGTATGACTCTCATTGACGGCATTGCAATATGCAATATTCACACATGACAGCAACAAATCATTGACTTTAAGCTCATGGTTAACAAAACACGAACCAATCAAAGAGTGAAGTCAAGTGAGGTTGAGGAGCGTCTCAGCGTCCACATTGCACGACGCCTTATACTTGCCAATCACTCCGTGATGTATGCTCATCCCAACACTTTGTCAATTCAAAAAAATAAACAAGTCATGAAAGCCCTTTTAGAGTGACCACCTCTCCTTTCGTAGATAAAAGTGTCCACCCGTTGTTTTGTTTAGAGCCGCGCCTTTGATGAAAGGCCTACAAGCCGCAAACACTCCACTCCTTGGGGCTGCAGATTATCACAGCCCACGGCCGACAAAGATTATGGAAAGCCCACATATGACCGCTCGTTTGATCCTTCTTCTAACAGTATTCAGCTCGTCTCAACAACCGTTCCCTACTTGTGCCGTCCCATTGACAACGACGCCCAAGTCCCACCCGCCCATTGTTGGCCACGATGTCGGAAAAAACGAGGTTTGTTCAAATATGTATTCAACTAGGGCTCCCACGTCTGTTCCGAGTGTTAAACAGCATGTGTAATTGAGTCGTTGCAATTCACTGCCCATCGCCAAATGTAATAAAATATCCAGCGACTTCCGCATGTCGGTGTTGAACACACAATTCCCCCATCATCTCATCAGAAATCGCTACGTGTCCGCCCTCACCGAGCCGCGGCCAGCCGTTGCTCATTACTCATCAGCATGTGCTTCATCAACTACCGGACACTTGTCTGTCCCAGCTGCCTCACGCATTTCCTGCAGGCCAGGTATTTCACAGCGTACAACGGATTCCCCCATGGCCGGCCATGCTCCGGCATGGACGTCTACTACGACCCGACACGCGGAGCCGAGTGCGGATGCCGCGTCCCGACGGATCCTATCTACTGGCAGGCTGTAGGTGCTCTGATATTTTGACGGCTGCATGGCGTGTTTGCTTACCTTGTGCAGGGTTGGATACATGAGAGCATGACCTTTCCGCTGCTTCATGTTCATCGGTATTTCGTGCCTTGGTCGGTCATGTCGACCTTTTAGCACCAAGTTGCGGAAGCACACAGTCGTGGGATGGTAGGAAAATCGTAAACCAGGATGACCGACCGTTTAGCCGAGTGATGCAGCGATATACAGACAGACCAAGCAAGTCAATGGCTGGGCCACAATTGACTGCGCAAGGACTGCGAATTATGACCATGTATTTTATGTACAAGTATATATAGATATGTATATGGAGCCGGGGGGATTTGCTTCCACGTGGCTTGGAAGCGGCCGATATAATACAATTGTTGAGAAAACGCAATGGCATCAGTATGTCGTCGTCGAAAATCCCGCCTCCTTTGCAAGCAAGGGGTAAAATTGATGATTCTGTGCGGAGCTGTAAATACATGCACCAAAGCGACCCAGATTAGCAACCACAAGTATCCTACTTCAATACGAAATCGCCAACGCAATTTGCCTCTCGACGGTATCAGCTTCTACGACCCCCTCCACCTACACATTCTTCTCGGCCGAAACTTCAACAGGGACTTGGAGCGCGCTCATATAATACACAGGCTGCTTCATCTGTCTCGAATCAAGCTCACCCGGATTCGCAACCTGCTGCGGCGACGCCAGCTCGTGAGGATTCCACGCCACACCCGGGGCCGGATTCACCTGCGGGTACTGCCACGCAGGATTCTCCTGCTGCGGAGGTGGATGCTGGTAGTAACTGTGCGGAGGAGGAGGCGCTTTGCCATCCTCGGGCACGGCCTGTTGAGGGCAGCCTCCCTGGCGGCCCTGCGTCGCGCGTCGACCAGTGCTCCAGAGACCATGCTGCCTGCGGTTGCCAATGACGAGGAGCAGCACCAAGACGACGAAGGGAACCCACGATTCAAAGACGACGTCGACGACATTCCAAGCGTAGGGGATTTGCTCGTCGGGGAGAATCCACCTTCCGAGGGCTACAATCCCGACCACACAGCGCAAGGCGTCGAGGATGGTGGCAACAAGGTAGAGGACGGCCGACTAGAGGCGTCTGGTGAGTAAAAGCTCCTCGCCCACGAAACAACAATTGCTCCCGCCAACGTACCTTTTTCCCCGGGAGCCCGGCATACTGGCCAAGCACAAATCCAGCGTACACGACCTGGACAATCGAGACCGCAAAATTAATCACGTCACTCGCAGCCCCCAACGACCTACACTTGTCCCACGCGTCCACCACGGCATTGTAACCCGTCGTCTGGTAATAGTGGATGAGGGCGGTAAGCGGCAGAGCAAAGTACGCCACGGCAAGGGCGAAAATCGACACGGCGATGCCAAGGGCGGCGGCGCGCACGACGCCCCGAAAAGGGGGCGGCTTCCTGATTTGCGCGTAGCGGAAGCCGTTACCCAGCTCGGCGAATACAATGACAAACAAGGCGTTGACGATGCGTCGGTAGAGGACGGCAATCAGGCCGGTGTACTGGTAGATCTCGTCGAGGCTGCGGATGCCGGATGCCGTGTGGGATACCCGATCAAAGGAGCCGTCGTCGTACTGCCACGATGTGAGAATGACGCCAGTAATGTCGGAGACGATGCTGAGCATCAGGGACCTGAGGAGCGAATGTTAGCCGCGGGTGAATTCGCCGCAGGGCCGTGGTGACGGAGGAGGAAGAGGAGGAGACTTGCGACACGAAAAACGGATGGCAAGCTTGCACCCAGCTGAACGCCGCGCGGGCCGGGTCTCGTCGCCTTCGGGCGAGGCACAGGCCCAGGAACCACACGACAATGGCTGGGATGACGACAAACCCCGTGAGCCCGGCGTGGACGATGAGCCATATCTGCCCCGTCGGTGCCATTGCGATCCTCGCCCGGCCCCAGTGGACTACAATGACACGGCGGCGCACGGTATTGCTGGGGCACTGAGAGTTGACGCTATGGGGTGGCGAGAAGTGAGGCAAAAGGCACAGAGTGATGATGATGCAAGGGGTGGAAGCCGGAGCCTTGTTATTAGTTGTGGTTGTCGAGTGCGGCGGCCGGCTACGAATTGCCAATTTGCCGCGGACCTGGTACATGGGCGAAAAGCCCTCGAGATGTAAGATTCTTGTTGCCTTTTGCGTACGCTCTCCTGCATTTAATCTACAGGGGTTTGCCCATCAACTCACCATTCATGGCCACTGTTGGTGTTACACGACAACGACAACGGGTCGGGTAAAATTGGCCATCTGAGCGCCCGCGCTGCTTGGAGTAGTAGTAGTAGGAGTACTCCGTACTAATACCATCATTGATCCTTTTTCACTCCAACAACCACCAAGTTGCGCGGGCTTATTCCATAGTCAAACACCGTCTCAACCCACGCGTCGCCAACTTCGGCTTGCTCCTTCAAAAACATCCACCTGTCCACCACAATCATCGACTCCACGACCATGGCACTAAACGCCATCAGACTCCAGGTCACACACAGCTCCTTTTTCCTCGGCAGGTACTCGGCTTCATACTTGTCAATCTCCTCGTCCGTAATGTCGGCCATCTTGTCATTCATCACGTCTGCGTACTGCCTATACTCGGTGCTCGTTGTCAACTTGTCGATTGTTCCCCGAACGTAGGCTCGTAGCGAGGAATAGCACTTCTTTGGTAGACCCCCGACGGTGACAGGTTGTGTGCTGACGTCAAACGGGCCCGGCCTCCTGGCTGCTTGTCCGTCTGTGTCCTCTGGCACATGGTGTATTTGCTTGACAACGCCTCTGTCCAAAAAGATCTTTTGGAGAACTGCTCGGAAAAAATGTCGCGAGAAAAAGGCCTCACTATCCAGTCTGTCCCAGTTCTGGGGCGCTTGGCAAGCCATCATCCGAGCAGTGACATTGAGCCGGACCCCGTCGTCGTCATAGGTACAGAATTTCTGGGACATGGGGAAGCCCTGCGCATCGAATCTGAAGGATTCCCTGCCGACGCGGCCGTTGAGTGCTTGCAGGGTTGGACGCAGATAGGCGTGCTTGTATGTTGGTGGGCCGAGTCGTTCCGTCATGAGATTGTAGCAGCATCCTACAATGGCAATGGCGCGAATGTCTGGGTTGAGGATGAGTGAGCGAATGGCGTAGTGAGAGAGGTTGCCGCAGGAATGTATGGACATGGCCATTAGCTTGGGCTTTTCGTCGGCGAGCGAGGTATTGTCAATCTTGGCAATGACTTCAGACAAGTCGCCGCTGTCCAGACGTCCGGAGACGTATTGTACATGACCCTTGCCGTGTTCCACTGTACATTCAGACCTTAACTGCTCCCGGGGTCGAAAGTCAAACGCTTCTGTGCCGGCAACTTGTCTGAAGACGTCTGGATTCTCATGAGGATGCGGCCCACCCGCTTCGAGAATCTTATTCCATAGCTTCTTATTCCTCATGACCTTTTCTTTGGTTGCCAGGCCAGAGGTGATGTCGAGGCCTCTTGCCGCACTGACATTATTCTCACGGCCTTCGACCGCGACGACTCGTCGATTGTAAGGCTCGCTTGCCAGTGCGCGGCCAAGATAGTTCTGGCCACTACCAAAGTCTACAAAGTGACTTATTTGATTCGCCTCCGAGGTAGCGATATTCTGCGATAGGCGATGCACATAGTCGGCAAAGTTCCTGACCTCGTGAAGCTTTTTAGGCTTCATGCCTACCTTGACTGTTCGCGGTAGGACGGGTAAATCGTGCGATGGGGGAGAAAAGTCTCTTGCAAGTGATAGATGCCTGATTGACTTGATGTACTGGAACAAGCTGTCCGGCATGTCGGGCAGACCATCCAGTTGGAGGCTGTCGAGATCATCTCTCATGAAGATATCGAGGAGGCGCATGATGTCGCATTGTAAGAGAAAAGGATGCCACTCCTCGGGTAGGACGGTGTGAAAGAGACCTGGCGAGGAGGTGAAGAAGTCGAGGATGTGAGTGCCGCCGCAAAGGATTTGGAAAAGGTCGGTAGTGTTGACAAAGTGGAGGAGATGAGAGACGTAGTCGTCAGCGGAGGCATAATTGCCATTGTAGGGGAGGGGTCTGGGCACCATTGCGGTGGAAAACGGAGTTGCAGAATGACAATTGAGTAATCTCAAGAAGATATCATGACGGTTCGTGAGTAGAGTTGAGGGCCTGTGGGGATGTTGATAATCCCAGGGTTTGACGAGAGGTGGTAACTGTGCCGATGCAACGCCGTTACAAGTTTCAATCGACTACGACAGTACTGAGATGGTCAAATGAGCAAGGTGATGCGTAATGGAATCAAGAAGTTATATACGCCTGGCATACAGGGCTCCCCTTGGTGTCGAGGTCTGAATAATTTTTCATGCCACTTCTGCCTCTAGTGCTGCTTCCAAAGCCCAGCCAGCACTGAGATGCCCCACCGTCGTCATTCTTGGCTGCCATCTGGACCTGTGGGGCCACGCCCCGTCGACCCCTGTTGCCTGGAATGCTGAGCTCGAGTTGTGCTTGGGTCAAGCTGCACCTGTGTCCTGGTGCAACCTCAGTTCTCCCGTGCGTCACCAAGTCACGACATAATCGAGTACTATTCTCATCTGCGGTCAGCAAGAATAGCTTTGTAATCGCCATCAAAGCATTGCTTACTGGTGAGCATAGCGTGCCTGCCACAATTTTGTCGCCTACACGGAATCGACGAATCCTGGGCAACCAAGATTACTCGTTGCGAGCTTCTCCCTAACTTGAGTCCTTTCGTTTCGCCGCTGAACCGGCATGATGTCCTTAGCAGCGATATAGCTATCTGATATATTCCGACACATCCTCGGCAATGCTTCGGCCCTCTTCATAGCATCACCATGGAGGATCCCTGGAGTTCCCCCTGGGCTACGGATACTCCGGCACCTCCAACAATCGACCTGCCTTCCGAGCCTCAGCAAGCGCATTATGGCAATTCACCCCGCAAGTCGTCGCGATCGCCCTCGCCATGGGATCGAGGTATAGATATCGGTGTGGATGACTGGGGAGGGTGGACCGAGCCAACAGGCGGCAAAGCCAGCCCGCGTTGGGGGAACAGTCCGAATTTAAAGCCATTAGGGAGTGGTACGGGCATAATGCTAGACCCATGGGCGCTCGCGGTGACCGAGGATAAGGAAGGGACCAAGGAATCTGACTCTGCCATTGGTTTGGGGGACGATGGGCGGGCGGATGGACACGATAACTTGACAAGGCACAGTGAGGGAAATGGTGTCTGGGAGAAGGAACATATCGAGTCGAATCAGGAAGATGCTGCGGTGCCGAGTCATTCTGTATACATGGAACCTACGAGATTGCTTGGCGAAAAGCAGGCATCCAAGGTGCAAGAGTTGGTGGAAATGTACGATGGCATGGCAAAGACATTGAGTGTGGAGGCGACGCGGACAGAAACGGTGACAACAAAAGATAGACAGGTCACTAAAGCCAAGGTTTCGGACCATGTGGATGATGGATTAGTCCCGGATGCCCCAATACCGCCTGCAACGACATCTACCCGTCCCATGGACAATGACGAAATGGCCCCAGTAGCGGACAAATGCGAAGCCGGACTTGTTGATTTGAATCCGAAGACCGAGGAGTCAGATCCTGATTTGCAAACTGCATCTGAGCTTGGCAACGGCGGAGTAACAAGCGAAGTGGTTCTTGTCCCAGAGAAAGATGCAAAGCCAGACCAAATGACACAGCACCACGGCTCGACCCCGCCAACCGACGAGGCAACTGAAAATAATACCCTGTCACACAGTCCAAGGACATCAATACCGTACCCTGTTGACTTTTCCAGTCTCAATATTCTATTTCCCAACACACAAGCGGCTACCAACACCCCCGAAGAGCTTCCCGAGTCCATAATTAAAGAGTCGTTCACCTCTGTATCACAGCGGAAAGCCTGGTATCGCATATCTCGGTTCGGCTCTATACGGAAACACAACGGTGGCGACGACGACAACTACGTCAGGGTGGCGTGGAAGAATTCAACCATTCGCAAAGACACATTGGACACGGTCCGCCGATGGATGGAAGAGGACAGAATCGGGGGAAGAGTGGTTTTAGGACGAAGATTGGGCCACGGAGGGGGCAGCATGTTTAATTGGGATTCCGAAGCACCACCCGTCGAGATTGGTGAGCTGTTAGCCAGGAAAAAGCAGAAGCCAAAAGGACATGCCCAGCAGTTTTCGGCTACCCTAGCGGGGACTGTCACAACGCCGATAATTGCATCGTTTGGATGGAGCAGCAGTGTGCCATCGTCGCCCGCAACGGAGAGGATTTCTTCCGAGTGGCATGCGAAGTCGACTCGACTGCCTGAGACGACGGTGAGGGACAGGGCGGAGGAGAAGCAAGTACCAGCGGACATGCCTGAACCTCACCAAAGTCCGAAACCGTCAGCAGCCCAGGCGGTACCATCTGCCTTGGCACCGATACCTGTATCGCAGGACGAAGATGACGATTGGGGGGATATGGTGTCTTGTCCAACTTTGGAATCTACTGCCGCGTTTGATACAGCCTCTCATATCGAGGCGGCATACCCCCCGACCCTGAAACCCGACGCGGAGGCGTCCATTCCGAAAGCGAACGAACCGGTGCATGCTTCAAATGCCCTGACAGAGGAACTAGACTCCTGGGGAGGCTTGGAGTTCTTTGGCGGCAATTCGACGGGGCAAACTTTACAGCCCATGCCATTGGCACAAGAAGACACGGCAGCGTTATTACCTGCACCCGAAAACGCCTCCATGCCAGCCCCCCTTGGGCAAACTAGAGAGGATGAATCTATTCGCACATCATTGCAGTTTTCAAGTTCCACATCTTCAAGACCAGCGAGCATTGAATCTGCGATTTTGAACTCCCAGGATGACGAGGCAGTGACCACTATTCTGGCTGGACTGCCAGACTTGTCATATATGATGAGATAACAGGACACAAGAGGAGGAAATATTCGTGCAACTGCATTGTACATGAGGTTGATGAGTCAATGAATGACCGAATTGATGCCAATTCAACTACAAGATTTTGTATAATACTAGTGTATAATAAAACATATCGTTCCCAAGCAACACACGGTTACACGAGGGCTACGATCACGGGACCGAGGGCAGAAGGCTGACACCACTTTTCATATGAATACAGCTCTTTGATCAATTATGCCTTGAGAAGAGCCAAGGACCTTTGATACCAAAGACTGTTATTAGATGAATTCAAGAGTTATTACTCCAAGAGTCCAAGCCCTCACTGGGCCCTTGTCACACTAGTCTTGACATAGATGCGGAGACGTGGGGTTAGCTGGCGATGGTGCCCCGCCCCCACCAGACTTGACTTTTTTCAACCCAAGGCCTCTTTAGGGGTGCAGGCGAGTAGTGGCTCGATCAATGTCGTCTGGTCCTCGAATTCCACCAACTCCCCGCCATTGTACAGCCGTTCCACGGCATAATGGAAGGTGGGCGGTTGCAAATTCGAGGGTAGCTATGTCACTTTTTCGATATACGTATCCCAGAGGCTAACTCTAACCAGTGCTTTCGCAATTGGAGCTCTCTCACGGATTCGCAAAAAAGGGAGCTACCCTCGGATTTGCAATCACCACCCTCCATCAGGTCATCTACGAGTCGACTACGACCTCCATACAACCTAACACACGCTCTTGATATGATGCAGACACGACACTGATAAAATGAGTGAGAATTTAGATGTCCAAGCTAGGCTAGCAAAATGGCTGCGTGGCGGTGATGTGCAATCCCAATCGCCCTCAGTCGGCAAGGCTGAACCCTTCTCGCGAGAATGGTCTCGTGAGCACCCTCAACCACAGATGAAGGATAGCTTAGACAAAAAGAAAGAAAGACTGTTTATTTCGTACCGAGTGGAGCGACGGGGAAATACTTGTATAACAAGAGCTGTTGCCATGGACGAGCGAAAAGCTTGGCCTTGAGACGAATGCTAGTTGAGCGTACCTGGCCCGAATAGTCGAGGCCTTGCGAACTGGCCATGTCTCAAGCTTTGCACGGCGTGGTCCCCGAGTCCCTGTCCGCCGCCAGATTACTTCCCATCCCGGCAGTTTTGAAATACTTCTGCGCCTTGATTTTGACACTCGTCGAAGTCGCCGGTTTTGTCGTGGCACTCGAGATACTTCTGACGGGCTATCTGCGCACACTCCTCCTTGGACTTTGGTGGAGCAGGCTTGTTGTTGTCAGCAGTGTTTGCCGTGGTCGATTTCAACATCTCTACCACTTCTGACAACTGGAGTATCTTGGTACCACCACCATCGACTATCCTGTTAGCTGTGCATGCATAGTCGTCGGTAGCATCTCCTGTGTGCAGACGGCAATTTTCTATTTTGTCTTTGTCTTCGTCCTTGAGCGGGGCATATACATATCCTGTTGCCTGATTGCTTCCTCTGCAGTCATAGGGATCGGGTATAAAGACCTCGCCGTCTTTCTCAAAGCGAGCAACTTCTTCCGCCGGGCAATAGTGTCCCTTCTGAGCAAGGTAGATACCGCCAAAGACACAGTTATCGGCACAAATAAATTGTGTCTCTGAGATCTGGACGGCTTTAACTTCGCCGCCGATAATCGCGTTGACCCCCGCGGCGGCACTCAGTAAAATGGTAAGGGCGAGCATGATGGCAGCGTGATGACTCGAATGAGAAAAAAAAAAGAGTTTAAGGCAATATAGGAAGTGGTAGGTAATGTAGAGGAAAAGATTGTCGGCTTGTTCTTTTGGCTGCCCTGATGAGTAGAGGCTCCTGACCTCTGAATCAAGGCGGCACTTGAAGAGCTATATATAAGAAAAAAATAAGACACTACGGGAGACATTTTACTAAATATAAAGCCTAAGCAATAATTATGAAACGACAACATATTACAGTTAATGCTATAGATGCGGCATCAATGCAGTGGCTAGGATTGCAGATTCATCCATGCGGCAGTGCCGGCCAAGGGAAATCGACTCAGGAAAAGCAAATGGCAATACGAGCCTGTTTCTCAAGTGCGAGACCTGGTGGTAACAGGTATCAGCTAATATCGCCTGGTATCGCAGGATTCGTCTGAAACGCCCCATAAAGACGCGAGGCAAACTCCTGTTGAACCAACAAGGGTCACGCAAGGAGATTCATGACACCTGTGAATAGAAGCAGGCTCTTTGGGTGTTTTTTTTTAAACCTCGAGGGAACCAGGGACCCTTGATATTCCAAAAGAGATGATAAGTTGAATGGAGTGTTGTGTTCCAAGCGCGGCGACTTCAGTCTACAGAGGCATTATCCGACAGGTACAAACCTGCGCACTCATGCACTTATTTAGGTTTCAAATATATATTGTTAATTAGTTTAGGTAAAGTATGTTAAATACGGGTGGGGATACCTAACGGGGGTAATATTGAGCATGTGCTCAGATACAAGAGCGGCAACTTGGAACAGTCACACATGCAGGGATTGGTAGTATTGACGGTCTATGCTACACTTACATCATGACACAGAACGAGGCTTGGCATGAATATAAAGTACCCACCTCCTGACTAGTATACTATGCATTTACTATACATCTAACATGAGCATTGCAGAGCGAGTCGACTCGAATTTATCTGTCCTCCTTGGCCACAAGGTTCATGGGCGTGTTACGAGAAAAAAAAAAGAGCCAAGACCTACCAAAATATGAGCTCCTCAGGTAGGATTTGTTACAAGGGCTCAAGAGGGCTTGGAGCAAATAGCTCAATTTATCTAATAATAGCTTTTAGTATTAAAAGTTCTTAGTTTTCCTTAAAGTTTTAATAGCTAAAAATATTTTTAAATATAAAAAGTTAATAAGGGATTTTACTTTAAGTCCTGTGATTATAGCCCTTATATAACATTTAATATTGGGCTATTTCCGTGTAACAGAAGTCCTCCACTTTTAGCAGAGTTACTGGAACAGGCTATAAGCCCGTGTCCCTTTCCTGCAGTTCATGTTGCTTACCAGCTTAAACCTTATAAGAAAAAAAAGGCTAGTTAACAGACACCAAAGAAGAGAATCAGATGCTACGAGATAGAACAGACAGAACCTAAAAATACCTAGTCTGCAAGACCAAGAAGAGAATAAAATGCCAGGGTCAGTCAAGTGAATGATTCAGTCTGGCGTTACTAGCCTGAGGAGTTAATAGTGCTACACGACAAAGCAGAAGACCAGTTGACCTATCAAATAAGACCTCCTTATAAGAGCGCCGAGGCCTCCACTTTTAGCTGAGTCGTTAAAACAGGGGCGAAGACTAGGGCACATAGTGCTAAATCAACCCGCAAAAGTGACACGACTGCTAGCCGTCGTTTTATAACGTTAACGTATAATCCGACCCCAGTAAGTTTAGCTAGCAGTGACTTATAGAAAAGAATCATAAAATATTACCTAGTGGGCTTAAAAGCATATAAATTATCGTGTAAATTACATTCTAGGTTATTACTCGTGCCACGGCCCTCCTTTTTTGTTATCGCGTAGCTTGCACCACATTAAAAAGTGGGTCGGGTACTAGTACCGAGTAGGTGTTGACAGAAATTACGGGGATTATAATTGACCTTCACCTTCACGTATTAAGAAATAGTTGTAATAAAAATCTTGGTCACTTCAACGTTTTACTCTCTTACTATAATGCCCGTTTTTATTAGTTATTGATTGGCCCCTCTGCCATTGACCGCCTGCTTCTTGGTCTTGTCGTAGACACCCCATATCTTCTGCATCATTGGCCCATGACTTTAGAAATATACATACTCCCCACACCATGTAATGCCTCGTGCAGCCATCCACAACCAGTAATTTAATATACTAATATCTCGTCCTCTCCACGCGACTCATGCCTCATGCCTCATGCGTCCGTCCGGGAGCCGGAGATGCTCGTCACATCCAGTACCGGATACGTGTCCGCTGTCTTGCCTCAGCTACTTGAACGAAAATTACTCCGTACGCGTGATATATCACTTTGCAGGCTTACGGCAGTTCTGCCCGTGTACGATGGATGGAGCCAATCAAACCATATGCCATTATGCAACCTGCAGCACGGTGGCTGACTCGACCTTGATGCCCAGACAACGAGTAGGTAGGTTGACTCGAGGGAAGCATTTTACCACGTATAATTTACATAAACAATCACCGTTCAGGTTGCATTTGTCTTTCAAATTCTACAAATCTGACAAGTCGACGTAATGCAGTGCATTACAGCATGCGAGCTGTCAGTTTCACTGGATGCCGACTTGCGACTCCAAGACATAGGCCCACCGCCCGTATCCAAGAAGGAATTCTCGTAGTTGGGATTCTTCAGGGAGGTTGACAGTCTCGTAAATAGTACAAATGACAGCCATGTAGCCGTTTTGAGATGAAGAAAACCTCGAGTCGGACATCTACAACCATTCTTGGGCCGTACTTGCACGATAATATCTGCAAAACCGTCATCCCCTCCATCTCAACATGCAGCTTCTATATCCCTCCAAAGTCATGAACTTGTCCCTACTCACTCTCCTCTCAGCGGCAACTGTCCTCTCCGCTCCCGCTGCTGTTGGCCCTGCTGCTCCTTGGCCCACAGATGACAAAACCCTACACACAATCGACAGATATGCCCGCTACTCAGTGGCAGCCTACTGCAAGAAACTAAATGACAACTCGGCCAATAACAAAGTATGCACCAATGATAAAGGTGCGCAATACTGCGGCGATCTCGCGGATGCTGTGACCGTCCATCAATTCCACGCCACCGAGTCCATCTCTGGCAACGTTGCCGTGTCCAACATGTCCCAGTCCATTGTAGTGAGCTTCCGGGGCACTGCGAGTATTGGCGACATATTGAAAGACCTCCGTGTGAACCTGAAAGACCCCAAGAAACACCTCGAAAGAATGGCGGCGGCGCCTCAAGCCATCGGTGCAGTTCCTCCCGCGTACGATTTCCCCCCAACTCATCTACATGTGTTGATCACTTGACAGTGACGCAGGCTGACGTCCAAGTATCTAGCGCATCCCCTGGCGACGCCGACCCAGCCCTCCCTCTCTGCAGCAAGTGCAAAGTTCACGCGGGATTCTGGGAAGCCTTCCGCGGCGTCAAAGACGTTCTAAAAAGGGTGCTCAAGGAACAACGCGAGCAGCATCCCGGCCATCAGGTGGTCGTGACGGGACACTCCCTAGGAGGAGCAGTGGCTTCCATTGCCGCCGGATATCTCCGCAAGAGCGGCATCGATGTGGACGCATACACCTACGGCTCTCCCCGGATCGGCGACCCGGCCTTTGCGAGTTTCATTTCCAGCCAGAAGAACGGCGTGACGACGCGCGTCACCAACGGCCGCGACCCCGTTACCGTGGTCCCCGGCGTCGGTTTTGGGTACGCGCACACTACGCCCGAGTATTGGTTCCCGAGCAGGGTTGAGCAGCCGAAGAATGTCACGATTTGCGAGGGCGTGCAAAACTTTTCCTGTTCGGGGCAATTCAACATCAGCCTCTGGTACGTTGGGGACCATTCGAGTTCCAAGTATGCGAGAGGCTTTGAAGCCTGCCCAGAACAGAAGAAGTTGGAGGCGGAAATGTTGCAAGCTCAGGCTTTTACCGAGGCAGATGTTGAAGAGTGGGAAAGGGTGGGATTCGTAGATGGCGCGGATCAGATCAAGGCGGCTCAGCTGTAGAAGCCTGCCAGTTGGATATTAGGATTGGACATGAGCGACTTGTGCTGTTGGATTATGAGTATATTTTTAGTTTAGCTACTGCAGTAGGTTTCGAAAAATGACTCACAGTATGGAGTATTTTCTGCTTGTTGCACGAGCTGCATAAACAGCAGGTGTCCCATCCGCATCAAATATTCTTAGCCTTGGCCACGCCTTTTTGCTGTTTTGGGTAGTAGTGGCCGTGAGACATGTCTTATACCGGCGTGTCTAGAAGGAGAGACAGGAACATGCGACAAATTGTATTGTTGTGGTTGGAGGCGCTCATCCGATGCATCTACTCCGTATCTACGTTGCATTTCTTTGACAAATGGACTGTCGTTCATGTGCCATGACAGGGACTACCAGCATTGTACTCCGTACGCCTCCTGGAAGTAGAGCGGATCGGGAGAGCTCCTCCTGGAAGCAGAGCCTTTACCCAAGGACACTGATAATCGGACTTATTTCCACCGTGTCAAGCAAATAGTTGCAGCATTTGTATGTCAGTCTCGCCGTCTAGGACATGGGCTGTTCACTGAACAAACTCGAGATGCAAGGTTTTCATCAACGAGTCGATTGCTCAAAAACTGAACGGCGGACACGGTCGTCTGAGACACGACTCGAGGCATCATGCATGAATGCCCAAGTAGAGGGCCTCAATTTTCTAACTCTTGGCACTTGCCGCCCTCTGCCCATGGCTTGGGCATTAAAGACATTGACTTGTACTCAGCCCTGCGTCCCCGTTGCAAAAGCGATTGGCTCTAGCCCCGTCATTAGGACCGGAAACGTAGCCGGGCTTGTTTGTGCCTGATTAGATGGCAGGCGGCAGACGGACCTGACTTCTTTTGACTCGGGCTGCTGGTGGTCCAATGGCTGCTACTTAGGTTTCCGTTGAGCTGCGTAACAAGACAATTAGTCGCTCTGCTGCCAAGGCGGGCGAATTGAGAAGTGGTTTTGCTCATGTCTACCTGCTTTCGTACTT